CCATCCCCAATACCAATGGCGCCTCTTGTGCATCCCCTTGCATCCCCCCCACCCCCCCTTTCACCCTCACATACCTTCCCAGCACTGTGTTATGCCTCTCATGCAGCCTCCTCGATCTTCCTCTAAAAACCTGCACACCTCCTCTCTCCCTCCCCCACCTGCCTGCAGGCCTGGGACTTGCAACTTCCTGCCAGCTTCCCCACTGACTTTGGTTCTGGGAAGCCGGCAGGAAGTTGCCTTGCCTAACAACTGTGGGATTCAGTTAACAATGGCAACTGGAACTGCAGGGATTGCCATTACTAAGTGATGTGTCAAACTTTATAACCGCATTGCTTAGTGACTGAAATTCCAGTCCCAATTGCCATTGTAAGTCAAGGACTACCTGTACTGTGCAGCAGAGATGTCAAAATCCAAGATAATTTAGAAGATATTCCATACTTACAAGAACTTCCAGTACTAGAAGTTAGATCAGCACTCTGGTCATTATCAAGTTGAAAGGCTACAGGAACTGATGGTATACCCACAGAAATATGGCAAGCAATAGAAGAAGAATCAATAAAAGTTCTAACAAGCTATGCCAGGAAATCTGGAGCATGGCATAGTGACCAACAAATCAGAAGAGATCAGCCTACATACCAAAACCCCCAAAAAGGAGACTTAGAGTATGCAAACTATTGTGCAATATCCTTAATTTCACATACTGGTAAAATAATGCTTAGGATCATCCAATGCAGATTACAGCTCTACATAAAAAGCGAGGGAGAGAGAGAGATGCCAGATGTTCAATCTGGTTTTAGAAAAGGCTGAGGGACACAAGACATTGCTGATGCACAGTAGATAACTGAAAAAGCCAAAGAATACTAAAAAAGAACTAAATATGCACTTCATTGATTATAGAAAAGCCTTTGATTATGTTGATCATGTTAAGCTATGGAATGTGCTTAGAAAAATGGGAATCTCAGAACTTCTCATTCTCCTCCTGAGAAACTTAAATACAGGTCAGGAAGCCACAGTACGGACAGAACATGGAGAAATAAACTGGCTCCAGATTGGCAAAGGAGTGCAACAAGGCTGTATACTCTCCCTTTATTTATTCAATCTATATGCTGAATATATGTTAAGGGAAGCTGGATTGGAAGATTAGCCTCCAATTTAAAATTGGAGGAAGAAACATCAATAACCTGAGCTATGCTGATGATACTACCCTGATAGCTAAAAATGCAAAGGATCTGCAAGCTCTAGTAATAAAAGTAAAGGAGCACAATGAAAAAAATGGGACTAAAATTAAATATAAAGGCCAAACTAATGACAACAGGTAGAACAACCAGCCTTAGAATAGACACTGCAGATATCAAAGTGGTGGACAGCTTCTGCCTTTTAGGGTCAATCATCAACAGTAACAGAAAAGCAGTCAAGAAATATGCCATATGCTAGTACTTGGTAGAGCAGCCATGAAGATCTTGGAAAAGTTATTCAAATGCAGTGATGTGTCTATACCTTATAGTGATTAGAATTGCACAAGCCATGGTATTCCTTGTGACACTCTATGGAAATGAAAGTTGGACTTTGAAAACGCAGGATAGGAACTTTGAACTTTGGTGTTGGCAAAGAGTCCTGAGAATACTATAGACAGCCAAGAAAACAAACAAATGGATTACTGAACAAATGAACCCAGAGTTGTCATTCAAGGCACTAATGACTAGGCTCTAATTACCCTATTTCAAATATATTATGCAAAGATCTAGCTTCTGGAGAAGGCTCTAATGCTGGAAAAGGTAGAAGGAAGGAAAAAGAAGAAAAGGATGCCCAGTATCAAGGTGGATAGACTCAGTTACAATGACAGTAAGTGCACCATTGGAAAACATGAAAGACCAGGTTAGGGACAGATTGTCCTAGATAAAATCTATCTATGTGGTCGCTAAGAGTCAACAATGACTTGATGGCATATAATCAATCAACCTACATCTCCAATAAGAATTACTCATGAACAAAATGCATGCAGTAGTAGGATGGATCAGAACAAGCAAAACAGCCTTTTTAGTTGCACAACTTCATCCCTGGAATGCTGTCAGCACAGAGACTTGTTTGACATCTACTCCAATATCCTTTCTGCACCAAGCAAAGAACTCCCCCCTCCCCACTGAGATTTAGGGAAAAATGGTAGGTGAACTCTATATTTTAGTCTTTGGTTCTCAGGGATTATTATTATTTCTGCTATTTTGATCATGTGGCAATTATATGTATTTTATTGTTTTCAATAGTTTATTAAACATTAATTACTTTCTTAAAATCTATTGTTTAGGCAAGAACTGGGGTGTGTGTGTATAATTAAAAGCAAGCATGCCTGCCTACCCCAAATTCACAAAACTGTAGTGAAGTTTATCAAGATGATTCACACATTCCTCTTTTCCCAGAGTCTGAGCAAGAATTTTCTAAAACAGTATTTCCTAAGCTAGTGGCCTCCAGTGTATCTGGAAGGTGACGGTTTAATGTATGTCAAATGTCTGTCCTACGCACAGCAATACATTCAAGCTCGTCATAAATTCTATCCCATAATCTGTTGCTAGGTAACAGTAGAGATTTCACAGACTTACATGGGTAGATAAGTTGTTTTATTGCAAAGAAGATCTGCCTCCTGCAGTTCACAGCAATCTAGATCTCTCTCTATATATGTCGGGGTTTAAATCCGAGGCTTTTCCTCCTGCCCTTCTGAGTCAACAATATTTCATTGTTCTCTTTAAAACCATGGGAGCAACTGCAGCTCAGACAGGTTTACATAATGATTCTGCCTAGCCTGAGAATTGTAGCTTCCTACCTTGCCAGCTTCAGCTCTTTTGTGTATTACAAAATGTATTTTGGTATTTCCAATTAACTTGGATTCTATGGAACTGATTCGTGTATGTTTAAAATATAATTTTGATCATTTTGCCAATAGTTATGATTCACTTGAAACATAGGTTTCCTAGCATTTATGAAAATTATTGCATTTCAAAGGGCTGTATGTGCAGTGATAAGCTGATCAATTGCTGGCTTATTGATCTGTCTAGATATGTTCTATTTCATTGTGTATGTTTTCAAAATTTATTTTCCTTACACAGTGCACAGACATCACACATACATGTGTCATACACCTGGAAAATACCTACTGAGATCTTTAATTCTGACACACAGAATTACTATGAAATATTCAGTCCCAACATTTTTTAATATTTTTAAAAAGCTTTGTATGCGTACTTCTCTAATATAAGGGGTCCTCTTAGACAATTTTCCTAATGTATTTTTTTTTAAAGAGCTCAGCTATCTCCAACGTAAGCTTTTAAAAATACAACTAACCCTTTTACATGCTTATTTGAATAAAACATTTTGAAATATACTCTTTTCTTGGGCAGCAGGGGATGGGAAAATGCATGTTTTTTATGCATGTTTTTTTTTAAATCAGAGAATGACAGGGGTAAGTAGATTCCATGTATTGGTGCAAATCTAAGTTCATTCATTCCACTCCCTTTGAAAACTGCACTCAACTTTTTTTTTTTTTTTAATGTTTCTCTGTTCATGTTACAAATCCTTGATAACCTAGTGCTATGCACTTTGGTGCTCCAGCACAGAGTTGGGCTTAGCATTCTCTAGGTGGTGGTGGTGGTTTTTCTTTTATAGTCAGAAAGGAAGAAAATCTTGACTAGTAAGGGAGGAGGAGGAGGAGGAGGAGGAGGAGGAGGAGGAGGAGGAGGAGGAGGAAATTTCAGCCAGATTAGCCCTTCAATTGGCAATAAATCACACTTATCTGTAAATCACTTGCTCTTGCCATGCTACCCCACCAAAGGAAGGGTTTGAACAGACAAGCAGATTTAATTCAATTACAGTGTGGAAGTTTGACAGGGAGTGCAACCAACTTCCCCCTTTTTCACGGGCACTCACCATCTGTCAAGGTTTGGAAGCACATTTTCCCACTGTATTTCCCATAGCCGGCCACAGTCCGAGCCCGCACCTGCACTACATAAACCATCCCTGGCCGGAGCCCATCGATTCGTGCAGTGTTGGTCTGACTTTTGGCCATGGAGGAGTTGTACTCACTGTGGTCCTTCAGTAAAGAACAAATGAAGGAGAAGGTATGAGGGAAGAAGTAACGTTATTTCCAATATCAACTATAATGCTGGTAAAGTATGAAAATCAGTCCCAGTACCAAGTTCTTTCTTGCATATTTCTTTACCAGTCCAAAGGCAATTCATCACTTTCCCACCTGTTTTAGCGAATGGAATGCCTAGAATGGGGATGACCAGAAAGCTATTTTTAAAAGTCTGAAACAAATTGAAATTGGGGCTTTGGACATTCTAAAGCTATAACTCCCATAATCCCTAGCAGTTGGCATGTTTAATGGGAATTGTCTTGAGTCATCTGGAGGTTCCCGGATTGGGGAAGGCTGACCAGTGCTGCAAAGATTTTATATTTTTGAGCAAGGGGCGAAGAAGTTAGGGTTTTACATATCAATATTACTCAAGCCCATTTTGATTCTTACAGTTCTCTGTAATAAGACACATAAATGAAAATAACTACAAATAATAAGTAATGAGTGAGAAGACTGTGGTACTCATGCAGCTTGCAGTGAAGGTTTGCCTACTGTATAAGCAAATGAGTAATAACTGCATGTTTATTCTGCAAAAAGAACACAATGGAATAGCTTTTAGTTCTCAGGTAACTAAGTTAATATTTAATGGATATGTTTATTCTAGCTATTCACTCTTCTAAATGGGCAGAATAAGAGGAAACCATATCTATATTCACATACAAGTAGTCCTTGATTTACGACCATTCATTTAACAACCATTTGAAGTTATGACAGTGCTGAAAAAAATGACTTCTGACTGATTCTCGCACTTATGTCTGTCACAGCATCCCCGTGGTCACGTGATCAAAATTCAAGCACTTGGCAACCAGCATGTATTTACAATGGTTCCAGCGTCCTAGGGTCACATGATTGCCATTTGTGACCTTCCCAAGGGGCTTCTGACAAGCAAAGTCAATGGGGGAAGCCAAATTCACTTAAAAATCATGTGATTCACTTGATGGTGCAGTGATTCACTTAATGATCACAGCAAAAAGGTCGAAAAATCGGGCGTGACTCACTTAACAACTGCATCACTTAGCAAGGGAAGTTCCAGTCCCACTTGTGATCATAAGTTGAGGACTATCTGTATGTATCTTCTATACCTGACATGACCTGATTATGAAATGGTACAAAACAGCCATCACTGTTCAACCACAAAGATAAAGCATAATAAACTAGCATCCTTTCTCAAACATTTTTTTTTTAGCATGATTTTGTTACACTTTGCTGAAAATCTTGCTTCTGACTCAAAACTTTTTCACTCACTTTTCCTATTAATCTCTGGATATGGCCCCTCCTATGCTATAATGTGGGCAGCAAGGCCTAAAAGAGATTCCAGTTAAATCGTTCACATTCACACAGTGAGATGTGCAACAGGTCTCTGAAGTTTGTCCCAGGAATAGGAGCCTTCACTCTATTGCTTCAAGACAATGAAGCTGGAAGAAAGCAACGCAAATTTATCCAATTTTTTTGGGCGGGGGGGGTTAAGATCATATACTATTTCCTATGCTCCAACTGCCTTTTTTTCTTCCCCCTTTTCAACTGTTTCATTTCACCCCATGTAGTTGAATACTGAGGTGGGAGCATCTGCCACAAGCGTGACAAATGCAAAGAAGTACAACATTGTGCCTGTGACATCCCTCGCCTCCTTGGGTGATTGCCTAATCATTAACAACATGAGGCATGGTTGGCAGGCCTGTACAGTAGCACGGCAGTTGACACTTGCTTCCTGACAATCTGGCATTGGATATCATTTACTGTACCCCAGGGCCTCGTGGGCAGAACTAGTTCAATCTACAGCCGACTGTGTTGGATTATATCTATCTCGCTCTTACAAGGCAATAAAACAGGAGTCATCTGTAGGATAGCAGGAGCTTACAAGATAGCTTTTGAGAGATAAGTATAGACATGAAAGAGTGTTATACAGTGCACAAAATACTATCCGTGCATCATCAAAAAGAGTCCAGGACGCAGACTGGCATTCCTAGCAAGCTATCAGTTGCTAGAAACAATCCTCATTCAAGAACCCAGGGCCTGCAGACAAGTAGAAACCAAAGGGCAGTCCCTGGCTTCAATTAATTACGGTTGCAAAGATTTTTCTGCAGATTGATTTAATGTAGCTTGTGACAGGAATTCCCAGTCTGCTGCTGTTTATCACTAGGCGAACAATAGGTAAAATTCATTAAACTAGAAGGCCATCATAGAAGACTGGACAAAGAAAGATCCCAACCACCTATTAAAAAAAAAAAAAATGTTCCAAGCCAGGTTTGTCTGAGTTCCTTATCGCTAGGTGGAAAAGAGGCCCTAGGAGGGAAAATAAGATTTTCACAATGATAGGATCAATATCCAGAAGTAAAAATCTTAGGCTGGAATGAACAGGGAAAATCTACCAGGTTACAAATTGATGCTGGGATGCAGAGACGACATCTGCAATCACAGTGTGAATCTGAAACCACAAAGTGGTTATGTTGTTTAATTATAAGATATATTGTAAATACTGTTTAAAGTGCAGAAAGAGCCTGTTTCAAATCTCATTACCATTGCAGGATGCCTTTCCTTTAATTTCAGTTGATTTTTGGATTAAACCAAAACAATACATTCCATGATATGATAAAAGTAGCTGGCAGTTTCAATTCCACCTTCTCCCATTACCAGCCCAGCCCAGTTCCCCTCTCTGAAGCACATTCAGGCTTACGGTAGCTGGTCTTGAGCCCATAGCGCTGCTAATCTCAGGGATGCAGATCCGGCTCACCTTCTCATAATAACGGATTTCATAGTCCAGGATGATGCCATTGGGCTGTTCTGGCTGAGGCCATGACAGCGTGATGCTCCTCATGGTGGCACTTACCTGGTGCATAATAGGAACTGTGGAAGGTGCTATGGAGAAAGGAGGGAATAGGAAATGCAAGAAAAGTGAAACATAACTTCAGGGGAGGATAGTGAGACACTCTGAAGAGATAAAAGTAAAACATCAGGATGGGGACAAGGAGAGGGGGTCAGTGAGGATGCAGGAGGAGGAGTGTCACATAACATAGTGTACTTCAACACAATAGTAAAATAGAGTATTTCATGACATAAAGAGAAACATTCTGTACTGACAATTAATATAGGGGACTGACATCCCTTGTTTTTACTGTTAGCTTTCTGTGTTGGAAACTACTCCGGGCATAATGTTTCAGAAAAGTGTAGCATACAAATAAATTAATTGATGAAAGTAAGTTATTATTGTCAGGGACTTTCCAAAGACTTCATGCAAAATTGTGTTAGTTCCACTGAAATTAACAGGAGCAGCACAAAAATAAATGTCAATAGATTTCAGTGATATTTTGACAGGGGAGGTTCTCAATAAATTATACCCTTAAAACAAGAGTTCCATCGGAGGCTATTTTGAAGCCCTATATAAATGTATCAAAACAGCTCTGCCTGTCCACTAGGACCAATGTAATGGTCTTCTCAATCTTCCTTTCAGAACTGGACTCTCACTCCCCTTCCACCCCTCATCTTCCCTGTTTCTATTTGCGTGTGCCACACATCTCACCCAAATTGCCTATACTTTTGCATTTTCCATTTCTTCAGCAGTAGCCAAATATCCATTCCTCTGCTTTTCTTCCTTCATCATTTCCAAAGGCTGCCCTTAACATCTTTCATTCACACTCATTTACTTCAAACAGTTACCTCCTCCAAGATTTCTTTTCTAACCCTTTGAGTCATATTTCTTCTTTCTTTGTATTTTTTTTTCTGTTTACTGTCTCCTCCATAATCTTCTTGTTAGTCTTCTTTATTCCTTGTGCCTTTTCTGTACTCACTACTCTCTCAGTTTAGATGCCATTCTTCTTTCTCTAGGTATCGGCTCCTTGGCCAGGTGTGGTGTGGCCATTGAAGTGTTGGACTAGGATTGCACAGACACAGCTTCCAATCAACCCTCAGCCACAGGAACTAACTAGGTCACTCAGGTCAGTCAGTGGGTCTCAGCCTAACCTACCTCCCAGCATTGTTTGGGTATAAATTAAAGGGAGAGACCCATATATGTTGCTTTAATCTCCTCAAGGAAAGGTGATACATAACTTTAACTAATAAACAAAGAAATAAACAAAGTCTTTCTTTTGTACAACTGCTGTATAGGGATGCACAGAATGTTCCAACCTGGGAAAAGTCATTTCAAGCACTCTGAGTTTTAAGCTTTTGTTTCTGAGATCAGAAATTTCTATTTTCTTTTGAATAAAATGTGGCCTTTTTGAGTGCCATTTTTTCCCTTAGTATTCCAGCTGTTCTGAGCACTGCAACTGTGCTATTAGGTTTTTCCTTTTCTTTTCCTTTTTTAGTCAACCAGTCATGTCCTTGCTGTTACTGATTTTTACTGGAGGGGATGTTATAAGAATAGATTGTGGAGAGGGAAGCAGCAGTTTAGCATATGGCCAGATGGAAGATGAAGTTTGCTTCTAGCTTCATCCCTTTCAGGTTTTTCAAAAATTCTTGGTATGGAGAAGTTTATATGGGTGAATGGTATATACATGTATTTCACAAAAATTGTACAAAAATATGTGCAGGTATGCACACATCTATGCTTCACAAAAATGGTGTTAATGCTAAAATTGTGGAAATACAGAGATTACAACAACATTAATTGGTTGGCTTGTTAAGCTGTGTGTGTGTGTTTGTGCTTGTTGGCTCAGGCTGATTTGTTCAGCTTTGGAGGGAGTATATTCTGTCTATATTCTTATCCTAGGAGAAGTGATAATTGAAAGAATGTTCAAGTGACTATCTTTTTGATCACTTTAATTTCAGCACTTCCTATCTCTTTTAAAGAAAAACACTTCTTTGTGGGGATAAGAAACTATGGCTTTCTAAATAATGGTTTATAATCCAAAGTATTGGATTTGTTAGTGGATAAGAGCAGAGCTGTGTTCTGAATGTTTGTTCTGAGGTTCTTTAATGTTTTCAAAAATATGTTTTTGCAGCTTAGGTGGCTGACAGCAATTTGGCATGGACTGTGACCTCCTCTACAGTTATGATGGTATAGTGAGAAACCAGGAAGTAAAGAGTTGAGTTCCCCTTGTTTCCTATGGCCAAAAAACTTGAAACATTTTAAGCCTTTGAATACAAACAACACAAAATATTCCAGTGAAATGTTTCAAGTTGGGCTGATTGTTTTGAGCTGAAAACAAAGCAAATTTTCCATGTCATGCATATCCCTTAATGCACTAAGCATCTAGAGTTGACCAACCTCTTGCTATTTGGCTTAGAGCTGTCCAAGAAGAATTATCAAAAATGTCCACCCTATTAGTTGACAATGAAAAGGGGACCCATTTCGCCAAATTTATTTAGGTGGAGGAAATTTTCCCCAGCAATTTGTTGGAAGATAGAGATTATATTAGCAGTAGTAGTATTGCAGTTTCTTTATATTATTGTTGTGGTAGTGGTGGTCGCACAGCCAGCCAGAAGTTTAGACTGGATTTGGCATTTTTATCCACCTATCGAGTCCTTCCCAAGGATAGGGATATCTATATAGGGATAGATGTTGCTTGTAGGTATTAAAGGTATCATCGCAGGATGTAAGCTGTTCTAAGTAAAGCTGCCTTTTGCAATCAACTGGTGATTTTGTTGTTGCTGTTGTTATTATTATTATTTTGAATGTATTACCCACCCAGCTCCAATGGACTTTTTTTCAATGGCTATTCTTATGAACAATAGTAATAATTGTATTGGCAACCTGGACATCATTTTGTATGACTACAATGCCCCAAAATTAGAATCGTACCGGAGCATTTTTAATAGCTTTATGTCCTTAAAAAAAAAAAAAGAATATTTGGAGAAAATTAGAAACTCTCCATCAATATAATAAACATTATAACATTATAATATAATACAATACGATATAATAATACAGAGAGAGAGTTCAGCTTTGCTGTCATTAGGAATGGTCATATCTTCTATGTTAGGGATATGCTCCATTTCACTCTTTCTAATTTGGGTACCCTTCCAATGCATGATCTTCAATTCAGATTTTTACCAATCAGAAAAGACAACTGCTGGAAATTCCAAGATGTGAAATTTATTCTGTTTGAAAGTTTCATGGCATAGAGCCTGGTTATCTGAAGGACTATCTCCAGTCATTTCTGCTGACCCAATATATTTGGGTCTAGTAGGTACACTCCAGGTCTCTTCTATATAAACATTATCATCTTGTGGGACTGAAAAAAACTGCCTACTCTGCCACTGCCCCTGCCCTCTGGAACAGCATCCCCCAGAGATACAGATGGTGCCCATTCTCCCGGAGTTCCAGAAGGCTCTTAAAACCTGGTTGTGTTCCCAGGCCTGTTCCCACACTTAGGAACTCTATGTAACTAGGATCCTCAAAGATGGGGAGGCCTGTAAACACATGATCTATATGCAGACTTTAACATCTATTTGATATAACTACCTTATACTCTCCCCATATAGCAAATCAAATTAAAGAGAGCTTGAAGCGCACTTTTCAGTAGCACAATTTGGAAAATATGGTCCTTAAATTTTAAATTGCAATTTGATGTTTTTAAACAACATACTTTTCTACTAGTTTACATATTTTATATTGTTTTACATTGGTATATTTTTATTTACTACTACTACTATAATAATTGGAGGTATATCATAAGTGCACTTATATTATTATTTATAATGTACCATTATAGATCATTTTAATATATTGTGAATCTCCCTGGGAGGGATAACCCTGATGAAATATAGAAATCATGAAGAAACAGGTATTGATCTCTTTTACTTTAGGCTGGTAGAGAACATTCACCCCAAAGCAAGTGACCTTAGCAGTAACATACATCCCAAAATCAGATTACCAAACCTTAGAAAATAACCAAGAGTCCCACCTCATTTCCATTTAGTGTAATTCCAAATCTGGGACTAAAGAAAATCCAGATCCACCCAGATCCATGAAAACCTGGGATACACACTGAGCCCTTTCATCTTGCTAATGACTAACTAAGAAGACCATCCTCAGTCCAAACAGACAATTCCTCAGTGAGACTTTCCTTCAGACTGCTCTGAATGGATACCCAGGGGTTTCTTCCACCTCAGCTGTAGCAGAAATATCCTTTTTCCAAGACAAAAACATAATATAACCTCCCTATCTGGCAGAAAATGTAGGCCTAAGAACCTGCATTCAGAGCTACTGGTGAGTAAGGGCTTCTTGAGAACAGAATTAATTGCTTCTAGGTGAAGCCGGAAAAGATGTGGGAGACTAGATTGAGGATCAGTAGCTGCTGTCCTTTTCTGTCTGGCCAGGTATTACTGCTTGTCCATTCTGCTTATTCTGGTTCCTGATGCTTAAACTTCACTTATTTCTGGATTGCTCTGCTATGAGTCCCTAGCTCTATCAAACACCCTGGTTTTAATATGATATTATTCTGCTTCTAATTTTCTAAGGAGGGTCAGTCTGGAGTAGTGGTTAAGCACCAGGCTACAAGTCGGGGGACCATGAATTTTCATCCCATTTTAGGCACAAAGCCAGCTGGGTGTCCTTGGGCCAGTCACTCTCTCTCAGCCCGAAGGAGACAATGGCAAACCACTTCCAAAATTTTGCCAAGAAAACTGCAAGGACTTGTCCAGACAATCGCCAGGAGTTAAAAGTGACTCAAAAGCACACACACACACACACAATTCTAAGGTGCTGCTCTCAGCTTTATTATACTGTACTAATCCAACACTGACATGAGAAAAAAATATTGATACAATACAAGCAGAACCTTTAGTAAAACTGCCTCCAGTTAACATAGCTTTTACAGTAGAATCACCCTCCCTTTGCTGTTTATGGTAAAGCTTCCTCATCCTTAATTACTGTTTGAAGAATATTATTATAGAAAGAGGAATGGAAATGTGAACAA